AACATTTTGAGGTATTTTTCATTTAAATATTCAAATGTTTAATATTTTTATTTTAAATACCAAATCCTTGGTTTGAAATGAAATACCCTTTATATATAATAGGGGAAATATGATAATAAATGACATGTCTGACCGCAGTCTCTGTTAAACATCATTACGTATCCACGGGTAGGTGCGGCCGATATTTTGCACACTTGTTGACACTTGAGTGTAGGGTCTGGGTGTCTAATCCGGTAGTAATTGCCCGCCGGGGCCGTCAGCTTCTCAAATACGTACCAAAACGTGGAGTTAGTCTTAGGGGGTGAGGTGGGGTTGGCAGTCGCCCCCTGAAGGCATTGTGTCATATATTGTTGAGAGGCTTGGTTTTGAAAGCCATACAATTGGTTCGTACTTATTGTCAATGTTTTATTAGTCCGGAAGTCAATGATTGGGGCCGACTGTAGAACACCGGTAGCTGTAAATAGTAGGTGGGTGCTTTTATATTATTTATTTATTTATTATATAATTTATATATTATCTTTAGTATATGTATATAGTTTATCATTATTAAGAATAATATGTTAGTTTATAGATTAGACATAAAAGTTAAATAGAGAAATATTAATTTATGTCGTTAACATACCTGGCCCATTTATATTTACTAGGATAGCACTGAATAATAAAAAACTTATAGAAATAAACATTTTAACCATTTTATACACAAAACAAAATTAATTAATTATTTTTAATGGTAGTTTTAATCATTAAATACTCATTTGATATATGCGCCAATTTAAAATTTATTTCTAATTAATTAATACATTTGCGTTTATGTAAATATTTTCAACAATTTCATATTTACAGTACTAATGCACTGAGATTTCAATTTCGAAATAAAACCCTGGTCAAACAAAGTAACACCACTTACGAATTATTGCACAATTACACAATACACGGTAGAAATAATTTATTCGTTACATTTGCACTAATTATTATGCAATATAAGCTTAAATGTCAAATTAATTACACCAAAACCTAATTTATTTATTGCTACCAATAATATAAAATAAAATGTTCATTATATTTATTAGTTTTAAGTGACAAGCATTTTTACCGTATTAATATAGATTAGCATAAAGCAGATTATTATATCTATATTTAATTTATATACTGTATTTATTTTGAATAATAGGTAATTATTTCGTGAAATATTTTATCAATTAAATAAAACATCTGGTATGATAAAATTTAAGTTACATTGATTAATTAATAATATTTGCCATAATTACTCTGTTTGTTATGATTTATAAATATATTTTTTTATCTAAATATTAAATCATTAATGATGAATTCAGAATGCATAGTATATATGTGACTTAATTATTATTTTTGAATGTTTATTATTTTTGTTTTAAATTACTTATTTTAATTTTTGATTTTTTCATATTTATAGTAATTATTTATTTATATATTTATATTTATTTATAGTATAGATATTATGTTCGCATGAATGTAAATAACTTTATTAAAATTTAAAAAAAATTAAATAGCAATTCATTTTTTAGGTTGAGGAATAATTTTCCAATAATACAACGGACCAGGGTTGTTCATATCAGCAGGCGGTGGCACACAGTTTATCGAGTGTCCATTAGCACTATCGTCAACATTCGGATTAGTATCGCCACCTGGATACATTAAACATAAAGATTCACAATATGCTTATCAATTAAAATTGAAGTTAATTGTTACATAATTCGTTATCAGTGTCGTAATGGTTAATAGGAGTAAGGCTAAACTATATTTTAATTATGCAACTTTTCCTATTCGTAACAGTATGATAATTATTATTAAATCTACAGATATCTGTACTATGACCCTGATTATAATTAGTAACACAGATCACACTATCAAAGGGGTTAGGGATATAATATGTGAGATGTCTGACCGCAGTCCTTGTTAAACAGCAATACGTATCCACTGATAGGTGCGGCCGATACTTTGGACACGTGTCGGCAATTTAATGAGGGGTCTCCGTGTGTGAACCGGTAGTAATTGCCGGCCGGGACCTCCAGTTTCTGAAATGTGTGCCAAAACGACGATATCCACTGATAGGTGCGGCCGATACTTTGGACACGTGTCGGCAATTTAATGAGGGGTCTCCGTGTGTGAACCGGTAGTAATTGCCGGCCGGGACCTCCAGTTTCTGAAATGTGTGCCAAAACGACGAGTTACTCTTGACGGGTGCGTTGGAAATGGCACCGGTATTTCCGCACCAAATCAGGTAATCTTGTGTCGCCTGGTTTTGAAAGGCATAGTACTTGTAGGTACTTATAGTCAATGATTTATTAGTCCGAAAGTCAATGAGTGGCACCGGTAGTTGAGCACCGGTAGCTGCGAAACAGTAGATTAGTGTATTTTATAATCAATGATTGAATTTACTATAAAATCTTTATATATAATTTTTATTAGAATTTATCATTATTAATAAAAATATTAATAATATACTAGTTTATAAATTAGACATATAAATTAAATATAAAATATATTCATCAAAGTTGTTAAAATACCTTGTCCATTAAGATTTATTAGTATAGCACTAAATAATGAGAAACATATGGAAATAAACTTTTTACCCATTTTATAACCAAAACGAAATTTATTAATTATTTTTTAATGGTTATTTTAATCATTAAATACTCATTTAATATTTAATAGAGTCGAGCTTATGTAAATATTTTTTACAATTTCATATGGTGCCATTTCAATGTACGGTACTAATTGCTACATTACTTGTATTAGTAGCTGTATAGTTGTTTTTCACAAATGCAAATTATAAATTTAAAATAAAACACTGGTTAAACACAGTAACACAAATCACAAATTATTACACAATTAAACAATACACTGGGAAAACTATTTATTTGGTGCTTTTGTACTATATATTATGTAATATAAAAAGGAGCAAATTAATTAAACCAAAACTCAATTTGTGTATTGCTATCAATAAAATAAAATGTTCATTGTATTTAGTAATTTCACGTGGCTACATTAGTATTTATGCTAAAGTAGATTATCGTATTTAATTTATTAGCTTAAATATAAATTGTATAATCATTATAAAATTCAGTACTTTTTAAATGATATATATCAAAATATAGTGACATTAATGACACTGATTAATTATTCCTATCTATTATATTTTCAATAATTACTCTGTTTGTTATGATTTTTAAAAATATTTTTATAAGAATCGTTAATGATGAATTGAAAAAACATAATTTCTATTCAAATAGTCATTTATATTTGAATAATTAATTCAAATATTGTCTTTATTTTTAGATTACTTATTTTAAAGACAACGATATTTTAAGTTTTAATGCATTTATTCAAAATATTATTAGAAATGAATGTTATTGCCATTGAATAATTATTGTAAGTACCTGGGTCACCTGACTTAAAAAAAACAGTTCACAATAATCATAGAATTTAATGAATGATTTTGTGTGACATTTATAAAAATATTTTTAATTATAAAATATATATGTGATGGAAAAAATCCAATGAATAATTTGTAGTAAAAATCTAAAAGGCCTCAACATTATAATTGTTTACACATACAGTATATCATACAAAATATTTTATAGTTATGCCCTTTTAGATTTTTACACAAAATATGAAATTATTCATTGAATTTGTTGTCTCACTTATATTAGTGAAAGTATTTATAAAAAGTATTGCCCCTTAAATAATTTGCACCCCATTTATAAAATAATTATATTTGTGTGTGAGTTTTGAACATGAGATTATAAATGTTGTAATATGGCTAAAAGTGACTATTTAATTATACAGTATCAAAAATTAAAATAAACTTAATTTTGAAAAATATATCATTATTTTTAAAATGATATAACAGAATATAGTGATATTGATTAATTATTCATATTTATTATATTTGTCATAATTATTCTGTTTGTTATGATAATTAAAAATATTTTTATAAGAATCGTGAATGATGAATTCAAAAACATAATTTCTACACAATTAGTCATTTATATTTGAGTTAATTATTATTATTTTTAGATTACTTATTTTAATGACAATGATATTATATATTTTAATTTTTAATGCATTTATTTAAAATACTATTTAAAATGAATGATATTGAAATTAATTAAATAAGTTATTGTAGTCAGTAATTATTAAATCAATATTTTTCATGACATTACTATTGGTATTATATATAATTAAAGAAGTTTTATAAACTAATGATAGCTGTAAATGCATTGCAATCAAATAATATAGACTACCAAATATCTTATGAAAAAAAATAAAACTTTAATAGAAATATGAATATTTAAAAACATTATTTTATAGTTAACTTATTTAAAGTAAAATATAATTTCAAAAGATTATTAATTGTACTATGATGCAATTTTAATGAAGTAAATGTACTATTCAATTCTGTATAGTGGTTTGTATTTAATAATCAATTTTTTAAATTATTTATTTACAATAATCATAGTTAATTTCGTAAGAACTATTTTTAAATATTGTAATTAAATTATTTGATGCATTTAATGAATTAATTATTGATTCATTAACTCAAATATCAGCGTTTATTCAAAATATTATTATAAATTAGAAATAATATAAAACATGTTTAAAATTTTGTAATATTATTTATGACACGTTTAATAGTCGTTTCGCTCGATGTATGGCTATTCGCAGATTTTTATAAATAATATCGCTATCAATGAGATTATCTGAAAATACATATTAGATATATATTATATAGTAAATAATCCGGAATAATATTGCAAACCTCGTATCCCTTGAATTGGTTTATAATGAATAGTTTCCAACAATAAAAGCCAATCCTTTTCACACCTATTCTCTCCATTA